CATAGTAGTCCTGTCTTTACTAAAGTTATTATCTAGGCATGCTTGAGCAGGACACTGTACAATGTACAGTAAATTATTTTCTCTGTTACATTAATTGTGTATAAAAAGGCAAGGAAAATAATTTTCTTCTGTAATTTAAATATTATCAAATAAAATCATCAAACAAATATTTACCAATATAAACACCAAATGCCCTGTACTGTATATCCTGAGGCACTGACATCGCGCTTTGAAGAATCATCCTTCAAGTTGTCTGTTTTGTGCTGTATTTTTAGAAGAAAAATGTTTCTATATATAAGAAAGAAACCTTTTGTATTAGATATTTTGAAAGATTCAATGCTAGCTCTCTGGCCAATCCTACTGCTTAAAGTTGAGCTTTTTTTTACTATGAATTAGTAAAACAAGAAATAAAAGAATACATTATCAAAACACAACAAGAGTTATTTTAAAGACTTTCGCTTGACAAAACATAAGAAAACTGCCTCCATTCCCATGGTACTAATTATCAGATAATCCTATTTTACTGTACATGACGAAGCTTTTTTGCCTTGAAGACAAAAGTTGGTAGGTAATATCTGTGTACCAGTTATTGTGCTGAAGGTAACAGAAATTAGATTTTTATGGCATAATAATTTCTTAGAATTTCATTTTTTGTCACCTTGGCTGTACCAGTTTTATTGACTAATAACTATATCTATAGGAAATAAACAAAATGACTCCTTACTATTTCTGCAGCTGACTGACAGTTCCGTTAGTTGTTAAATATAAAATAATACTCAGTGTTGTTAACAGTGTCAATGATGTCGCTATCACATTAGACATCATGAGATGAGAAGGCGCACTTCAGAAAACATTGTATTTTAATGAAAGAATTGTCTCCCAAATGCAAAATAAGCTGTGTACAAGATGAAAAAAAAAAATCAGATGAAACTGATTCTTATTACTTATTAATGTTGACTCAACAGTGAAAAATTACAGTAGTTCTGAACCCAGGACTGCTGTACTAACTTCTATATACAGTATACTGTAGAGTGTGGCTGTTGTACTAGCTTCCATATATACAGTGACACACCATCTAAAATATTATCTATAATTTTTTCAGATTTGGAAAAAGACAATGAAGAGGTCCAGCTGTCTAGTCATTTGTAGTGGTTGAAGGCAACCTCACCAGACAGAGCTACACTAATTAAGGCCCTTGACCACAACCAGTACCTCTCCTACTGTATATCCTCGTCATAACATTCCAGCATTCCAAGAGGAGATCACCCATTCTCATGCTCTTTGCGTCACAATGTCATGTGAGATGAGAATCTGTCAGTTACCTGCTTCCTTACCACTATATCCACTAACTTTAAAACCACAATACTGAAAGCTCCTTGGTCCTCATGGTTGTTTTTTTGCATCACTTTGTGAGCTGTGGCTTGAAAATGAATACATGAGAAAACGTAGTAAGACAAATTTACTCTGAAGTCACACGAAACCATTTTGGTTTCACGGAAGCAGACACTATTACACTAATTTAATCAAATCTTTTGATTTGTGGTTTCTGTAGTAAAGGGGTGGGATACTGATGCAATTTAGAATCTTCTCATTTTCTTTTTGCTGCTAGTATTTGTAACTTCATCTGTTTGGAGTATATTGTGTTGAATCTAACTGTCAAGTCCTATTTAAAAGTGACCGTCTCCTCTTTGCAGGGAAGACAGTGGTCCAGTGGTTAGCTTTGCAGCCTTAAAGCTTGGGGGCCCTGGGGTGCAATCTGCGTGGAGTTTGTATGTTCCCATTTTTGTGTAGGTTTCCTCCAAGTCCTCTGTTTTCCTCCCACAGTCCAAAGACAAGCTGGTAGGTTAATTGGCTTTTGTAAACAATTGCCCTTGATTTGAGTGTGTGCATGTCTGTGTCTGGATGTGCCCTGCAATGGACTGGCATCCTGTCCAGAGTGTACCCCACTTTGTGCCTGTTGTTTGCAGAGGTAGGTTCTGGCTACTCCACCCACATTGAAATGGAAGTGTTTAGAAAATGGATGGATGGAGTAATACGTCTGCTTGGCTGAGCACGTCTGTTCACTTTGATGCTCTGTAATAATACATTAAAATAAGGGGTCCGGTCTTTGTTAACACTTTGATTATACAGAACAAAAATCCTCAAAATACTCAGTCTGCAGTGATGGAAAACTAACCAATTAAGATACACTTTTTTAAAATTAGTATACTTAAAAAAAGAGAATGACTGCCCTGCATGTATGGACAGATGCTTCATGTATTGGTCTGGGTGTCTAGAAACATGCCAGAAATATTTAAATCATGTAAGAAAAATTCAACTCAGATTTCATTACAATGTTTTTGTTTTTAGTTTGGCTTGTATTTAAAATGCTTCTTAAATGCAAATGTTTTGCATTTCTACACCAATTTTCATCCCAATAGCATCCCAAAGTGATTAGCTTACTATGTATTCATCATCCCCTCCCCTCTTTAATAGATTTAGAAAGACAAGTATATGCTGCTATCCAGAATTCAAATTACACTCCTAAAACTTTTTAAAATGTTTGGTTTCATAATCATACCACCTTTTCTGATTTCTGAACATTCTGGTGAATACAGGGGACATTACTGGACTGTAGGAGGAAGACAGAACATCTGCTAAATCACTCCAGAGAGTTTTCGCAGAGAGAACATGCAAACTCCACCCCAAACCTGAAGCGAACTCAGGACCAAAAACCTGTCATGCAGCATTACTCATCGCCAGTGCCACTGTGTTTCCTGGTTTCTGTTTAAATTTTTTAAATTGTAGCGTGCCCCAGAAGCTAAATTCCAGCAAATTCCAGTAGGTTTCATAGTTTCTATTACAATAGAATTTTCTATTAGAACACTGATATGAAAACACTAGCTCAAGCAATTACATCAAAAAGTTAAGGCTTTTGGAAATTTAACATTTAAAGCTTCAGCAAGTTCTCTTATCAATTCTAACAAATTAAGTCTTGAAGATGTTTTTAATTCTGTGTGAATTTCAAATGTAAAAGAAAAGATCCCATTGTCTTATACACAAAATGTTGTTTAAATAACCTTAGGAATTTTGAAACATTCTACACTACACGTAGAATGATAAGCTTTTGCTTTTTTACCAGGGAAATCTAAACATGTCTCTTTATTCAATGATTGTTCTCGTACTGTTTATTTAAAATACTGTTTTACAAAACCCATATCTTCACTCTCCAATACTGTGGTTGCTGGAGAAGCTGATGGCTGAAGGTCGGGTTTGCAGGGAAACCAGATGCCTGAATTTTGCGAGTTATGCAGCAAAACTGGTTACATTTTTGGCTCCCTCTAAAAGACTTCAGTGGTTGCCAGAGTAACCGACTTTCTTTGGACTGTCTATAATTGAATCTTACTTTTAGACTTGAATTCCTCTGCTACACAAAGCCGTGATTATTCCCAGCCAGCAGACTGTGGAAAAAAAAAAAAGAAAAAAGGGATTTGAATCAGCGCCATGGTGCCTTTCTCATGAGCCTGATTGGTGGTGTAGTCAGTGTCCTTGAATTGCCAGAGCCAGAACTCTACTGTACTGTATGTTGTTGTGCTTGTATTCAGTTCATTCTTGTTTTCACATTAAAGAACTAGGCAATGTGGGCTGAGCACAATTCATTTTAAGCTTTGTCAGTGGTTTTTAGGCGTTTGTAAAAGAAACCTGCTTATTCACAGTGAAATGTATGTGATGCAGGCATATCTTGCTGCTTTAAATTAAACACCTTTATCCATATTACCTCTTGCAGTAATAGATGCTTGCTGAATTACAGCAATGCCTTTCAACACTGAGTATATTGGACTTTAAACTTCCTAATCAAATAACCAAAATGAAGTACAGTAATGAAAGGAATGCTGGCTAACAAGATTCCCAGCTTGATGCTTTTGTGTATACTATGCACTGTCACACTTGTTGGAAAACGCACAACCCTAGACCCTCAGAAACATTCATTTTTCAGACAATACTAAAGATTTACAGAAACCTTTACCACCGTGTCAGTGGCTTCAGCAGCCAGTCGTCTAAAAACAATCAGCAAGTCTTTTTTGTGCCCTTACCCACAATCTCCACTGCCATCATCCCCAAGTTATTCCCAGTTCCCATTTTATCCAGCATGGTTCAATTAATGGCACTGGTTCATTTAGATTTCAAACTGTAAGGCGTAAGATGAACATTTATCCCCATGCTAAATACCTACAGTATACTGTATATAGCTCAGTCAGGCCAATATACTTTAAGAGGGAGCCAAGACATTACTGTAATGAAATCCAAAATACATTTTTCTAAAATTTTGTATTCAAGCAGGTCCTCAAGTACAAAAACTGTCAAAGCAGAGCAAATAAGTTTCAAGAAATTAAAAGATATAAACCCCCCCCCCCCATTTTCACAGTGTCAATGTGAAGCCCAGCTGTTAAGATTTCCAGTCCAAACATGCTCCCTCCAATAGCAATTCATGAAAGTTTCATACAAAACTTTCATATAAACAAGGATCTGATTATTTTACTTTATTTGCTAAAACTTTGCGGTTTGAAAACTACTAGTTTTCTTAAAACTAGGCTGGCCACATAAATGTTACCAGAAATTGCAGAAAATCAATGTAAAGGATTCCTGCCAAAGGCCACTGTATTCACTAGAGGCATGTTTAGGGCTAGCAGCATAGAAATGTTTGTCTGTATAATAAATATCCATTACATTTTTGCTTTTTAGAAAGGTTAAAATTCTCTAGAAATATCATTGCCTTGTTATAGTTAAATTTTTTGCATTTAACAATGTTGATCCCAGCTTGTACTGTTCGATGTTAGAAAGATGGGTATTTTATATGCTGACCCCCTGTCTTAAGTCAACTGCATTTAAGTACTCAAAAGGAATTGAAAAAAAAAAAAGAATAATGTTCTATACTTTTGGTTTCTGAATTTGCAGTTTAAAAAGTTAAAACCAATCATATCCCCCCCTCCAACACCAAAAGAAAACACATGACCAAGGAATTAAAGACTATTTATAACAATTTATTTATAAAAAAAAAGAACCATACACAGAACAGTTTATACTGAGACACGGCAATAAATACAAGGGTTTGGGGTTTTCTAAATTGGTTATTTATGGCACACAACATAACAATGCAATACAATAAAGCACTATTTTAAAAGTTTGGTCATGTCTAATAACTTTAAAATAAACTTCACAATTTAAAAACTATTTCCAGTGACTTCAAATCAAACCAAGGAAAGAGCAAAGGACCTAATTTCAATACATAATTTTCTTCATTGGCCCTCAAGCCACAGATTTAACTCCCTTAAATCCAGATTTAAAACCTAAAATGTTTTGTTTTTAGGGAAGTGAACAAAGTGACAAGTACACTGCATTTTACATTTGAATTATATGAATCCAAGAACAATTTCAACAATATTGATGATTGGTTGTATATAAAACTGATGCTGCATAGCTGTCATTAGTGAAGAGGAAGAAAAGGAAGTTATTTCACAGTACTCCATATTTCAAAAGATAAAAAACAGAATGGTTGTGTTATTTTAGAATCAACACTCAGCATTGTTACGGGTCTATAGATAAGCACAAATGACTTAAAAAATAAAAATACTGATGTCAAATTGGGAGAAAAAGAAACGCAGATAAGGCAATATTTTTGTCGTCTTAGGCATCACAAATAAAGGAAGACTAGCAAAAATAGCAAAAAGCTTGCTTTGTTCATAAAATATACTGGTTTAATACTGATTTTACTATTGAGTACACTTCCTAATAATCTATGCCTTGATCGTTGTAGTGCCCATGGTATTCATCATTGTAGTTGCCTTGATACTCCTCTGGGTATTCTGCTTGGTAGTCACTGTCACTGATCTCAGAGCCATTTGTTCCTGTTCCTTGACTGCCATTGGTGTGTATCACTGGCTCTGTGGGAGAAGCACAGTACTTGGGATCGTACACCTGCCGTCCCAGCCCATAGACGCTCATGCCCTTCTGAGAGGCCACTTTGTTGGTGCCCATCTGTAGGGAAATGGTGGAGCAGTCCACTGGCTGTTGTGCCACCTTTTGATCAAAGATGTCTCTTCTGGTTCCTGGAGCTGCCATACCAGCCTGAGGACGCAACACACAGTTTAAACTCTCAAACCAGCTTTAATTTTAAAAAAATCCCCCCCCACCCCATAATTACAATTTGTTGTACAAAAACTGTTACAGTACTAATAATCAGACTTTAGGATTTTATTTTGTACAAAACAGAAGGCTTTAGAGTACAAATACAATTAATACAGGGCTTCTGCACATTAGTTATCATGGTACCTGGCTGGCTCCTTTGTTGGTTCCCATTTGCAAGCTGATGGTTGTCTGGTCATATGGCCTGTCTGCCTGCGTCTTTGGGTCGTAAAGATGTCTCCTGGTTCCGTACGCAGTCATGCCAGCCTGGCTAGCACATTTGTTAGTTCCCATCTGCCAGTCAAGAAGAACAAAAAAAAAAATCAAAAACAAGGTCCTACACTAGCTGTCTTCATAAGAACGTATCTACAGTAGTGATGCAGCTTCCAATTAATGCATAGCAGTGTTCTTCAAATGCGATTCTGCACTCCATTAGACGGCCAAAATCCACAGTACTACCAAATAATAGCATTGTTTACTGAATAGTGAAGAAGACTTATTTCCAAAACTGGTATTTCCTTTGGTCCTTTGTGTAAGGAACGCTTACCTGAAGCCCAATAACACATTGGCCAGCTTTTAACTTCTCTTCATCAAACTGTCTTGTTTGCTTGTCTGCATATTTCACACCAATGTCAACCTTTGAGCCAATACCTTTGGTTTTAGCCTGTAAAGAGATTAAATCAACAGAACAATGTAATTTAAATCGATCTGTAAACAGTTTAAGTACTTCTCCACCTTGGTAGGAGTACATAAGATATCACTCCCAAACCCTTCAGCATGCACAAAGACCAGAGAAGATGTGATTTTCCAGCCTTTTCCTCAAGCCTGCAGTACGTACCATACTGGCCAAGGCTAGCAGCGTGGTCTGAACTTGCGTCATGTTGCCATTTTCAAAGAGATCATTTGCTTCAAAGATGTCATTGGGCTTCAACCCATAAGTTAAAATCGCTTTGATGAAATTGCCAAGATTCTCCAGCTAAGGATAAAACAGAACATTTAATTTAAAGGAAACAATCATAAATAGCAACTAATTGTTTTTGAATGTATACCAAAAAATAGCAAATGGCCAAAGTCACTTGAAACCATAGACATTTTGTATGAAGTGTTTCTGGAAAAAAATAACAGTATACTTGGTAAGCAGAATAAAAAAGCAACTTAAAATCCAAATCAATTTTACACTGCTTATATAATTTTTAATTTCCATTTGCCCATTAGCCAACTTGCAACTACAGTAAATGCAAGAGGTTTTGCTTTACAGTTAAGTACTGCAATATGTAACACAGCAAATGAGCCCAATTTCATATACTTGAATGTAAAAATACTCAGTTAACTACTAACCCTAGAAGTGCACATTGTGGAAGATGGGGTAGAAGGAAATGTTTCTTACCTTGTGCCAGTTAAGTTTGGAATGGTTGATTTTTTTCACGGAGCCAGGCTGAATTTTGTTAATTAATCTAAAAATGCAAAACATTACTAGTTGACAAACAATATAAAATTTCCATGAACATTATATTACACTAATGGATAGTTCATACATGTAATGAAATAAGTCTACAATTCACTGTCAAACACTTTTTTCCAAAGGACAGACTGCAAAACCTTCTCCACATACAATACCACAGAATGAAGAATTAGTCACTGCAAGATGAAGGATTACATGCAGTATTAAAAATTTGATCAAAAGGCAAGACATGGAAGAAACAGGAAAGGAAACTTAAGGAAGACCATTCTGCATTAGCCTTCTGGAAAGGGCCCTCACCAGAAAAAAGTGCAGAGGAAGTATAGAAAGGATTTGAAGAGGATTTAAACCTGCAGGCCAAAAACACAGCAGAAATTAAAAGCTGTTGAAACCATAGGACATTATCCCAGACAAAAATGCCTGTCAGAAAGAATATCAAATGAGGCAATAAAAATAAAGTTACTGAAATGGATATCAGATAGTTACTCTTATACAAGAGTATATACATTTTCAATATACTCTTTAGACTTCCAATAGTCCATTAACTTCCTACCCAACCAATATGCAAGAATAACTACAGTTTATCTCAGATGTACAGATACAACCCCTGTACAGCACAAGATACAAGATATACTGACATCCTCCATCAGCTATCACTTGCAAGAGCCACAGTGCCTAACAGGAGAGTCACCACACACTGAAGGAGTAGCATTCTTCATAGAGTTTTCTACACACCTGCGAGGTCATCAAGAAACCCCTTTCTTAGTTGACAAGTGACTCGGCCCAACAAAGTCTGAACGGTAAAAAGTTACTTCCCAGAGAAAACTACAATATTATGCTTAGGTCTTACAACTACAACTAAAGTAGTAAAAAAAAAAGTCAACTTAAAAGCAAAAAAAAAACATTTCCCCCCACACTTACTCGCATAGGATCACACCATCTTTGAGACCCTTTTGGAAATTGTCTCCAATAGGCATGCCAGTGACATCCTCGATCCAGTACCGCAGTTCCTCCTCCTTCTGGGAATCATATTTTTGTGCGATCTGGGAAGACAGCATTACAGCAGATCTTTGAGAAGCAAGTTCAGAGTTAAGATGTTAATTACAACTTAGTGCTTGAAAACATCAACTAATCCTTTCAGAATTTGACTGCTAATTCTGACAATTCTTTTGGTGACTTGTTTATGAATAGGGTTTTGAATTTTAAAGTTACTGAATATTATGCAGTCATATGTATACTGCATAAAAATATCCACGAGTCGATTTCTTGAAGCAAGTTAGTAGTTGTGGATTCCTACAAAGAACGAGACCAATTATTTACATACACAGTCATAGAAGACCTACTGTACAAAAGCCTTAACATGACTTCACTTTCTTCCTGTAGTTAAAATTAAAATATCAAAATGTTCTGAACCATGCTACAGTACATCAATTCCTAACAAACTTTATTCAGACATAGCTCTTCTCCATCTTGGAAGTTTTTTAGAATATTTATGCTGAAGATTGTTTTTTTACCAGCTTCAACTGAAAAGGTGATTCAATGACATTTGTAAGGGACCAAAAACCACATCTGAACAACATGAAATAAGTTACATTTCCCAAGAATCGGGCAGTTTTAACATCCAATTAGACTCTTCTGCTTGCCTTTTTTAGAGAAGCTCATTCTGAGTAAGAAATGTAGCCATCAGTACACCATCATACTTGTCGATTTCAATGGGGTTCTCCAAAAGAGCATTATCTAAAAAGAATTAGCCGTTATACCAAAGGATTTGTATGCTTCACAAATCACAGGGATTCCCTTGCATATGCCTTTTATTCATTTAAATGAAATGCCAAATCCTTACTGCATCCTACAGAGGTCTTTGCATAGCTCAATGAGCCAAAGGGTTAAAATTGGAAATAAACCTTCAGGACTCAGGAAGTTGTCTTTTACCCACCTCCTGCTTAAAGATCATTGGCGCATAGATAGGCGAAACTCCCAGCATTTATCTTGTTTCCCTCTCAAAGGAACTAGGGCTTTAACAGGGTAATAAAAATGTGGGTCACTATTTTGTCTTATTGGGGAAAAAAATAAATAAAAGTCAAATCCAAGATCAGACTAGAAATTTAATCTCATCTCAGATACTGCCCTTCTGAGAACTAAAGTCTGGCCTGGTTAGCACCAGGATGGGAGACTGCCAAGAAAAATAAGGTTGCTGCTTTAAGTGGTGTTGGTAGACAATAAGTGGCTCTCTACCCTCTGGGCCAGAACTGACAAAACCAATATCACAAATATTGCTATGTTGTACTTTAGATGAGGTGTTTAACCAAGGTCCTAACTTGTCTGGCATTAAATATTCCATAACACTCTTTGTAAGAGCAGGGGTGTCAATCCCAGTGTGCTAGACAAATTCCACACTAGACCTCCTTAAAGTTCTAACTTAATTCAATTAGCGGAGCAATTTCTGATTTGCTACATAGCAGCTCTCCTGAAACATAATAGCTGCCAGGGTTTACCCAGGCAAGTGCTAAACAAAGAGGGTACCTTCCTATAAATAAATTGCTATACAAGATCCTCCTAAAGGAGAAGTATATCAGCTTATCAAGAGGAGAAACTGGGCAAGATAAATGACTACTGGAAAACAGTGGTGGTCATCCTAACATGTCAGCACGGGTGACGAATTTATTCCACATGATGTTCCAGAAAACCCACCACTATATTAAGAGTCACACATTCAAGAGCACCTGTGGAACTAGACACAAATACTTTCATTCAGGACAATAAACTAGCATCTCAACATGGGGAAAAAAGGTCAACTTATTTTTTAAAATACTTTGCAAGCCCCGTCAAATACAATGCCTAAACATAGGATAAAGATGTAAAGGCCAATTTAGGGCATATTATAATCGGGAAAAAAAGTAGATCCAGGACTAATTACATTCTTTGATGTAAGAGTGTTTACTGCAAAAAACTTCATAAATGGGCCCTTGTGTTAAGTGTAACCCTTTTCTGAACACATTTTATAGAAAGAAGACAATGTGACAATGGACACTATTGTATGAATCCTCCATAGTTGCATGGTTATAGCACAAATAAATACTTGCAGTCGTGCAAGGATTTTGAAATAAGAGACCACTCACAGCAAAATATGAAGACAGTCAAGTAACCATCAAGATACTACTCACTTCTTTTCAAAGCCACCTGGTTGCAATTGTCAATTCTCAAATGTGGATAGCAAGAAATGTACTCAAACTTGGGTCAGGTTTATGGTAAATTGTTGGAATTAATTTAGTTGAGACCACAAGAGTCCAGACACTGTAGAAGATCTCACTAAGAAAAAAAAGCTTCCTTATATCCCACATATTTATCCTGGAACAAATCCAAATGCTGCCGAGATACAGGAAATTGCATGAAAATGTTTCTTCGGGAAAGGATTTACTGGACAGTGAACTCCATGCATCATAAAAAGAAACACATGGTCACTCAGGAACCACTAAAAATGACCCTTGGAAGACAGCTACATAGTAATTTTGGAAAAAGTTAAAATTTTCCAGCAAAACAGAGCTAGCTAGTCCTTCAAGTCAGCTTATCACCATACTACAACACCAGTATAACAATGACCAATTTCACTAAAGCCCTTTAACCACAAGGCAATAACTCATTTTTCATGCAAGAGGAAGACAACAGCATGAGAAGAAATCTTGATTTAGGCTCTAAATTAACCCTAAATGTAGGGTTTTAGGTCTCTTCAATTTCCCTCCAGTATCCAGCTGCCAACTTTAGTTGCTGTTATTTTAAATCAATGGAATAATAGCTTAGGAATTAGTTCATTAAGGAAGTATATACTGAATATATCAGCTGTTACAAGCATTTGCACTAAAAAGATTAATTTCACTGTCTGGTGTTAATACACCATCACCCTTCCAGGATACATTATGGCAGGGTTCAGCTCGAGCAACTACCAAAGAATCTAAAATATATTCTAAAAAAAAAACAAACGAGACAAACAGCCTTTGGTAACCAACACCAATGTTATCGTAAACAAATCAAGGTATGTGCTGGGTGGTGCACTTTAGACACCACCTCTCAATCCCCAGTGAAATGTCTTAACTTGTGCAGAACAGCCTACCTTTTGTCATTTACATGAATTCCCCATTATGTCTTGAACCAATATGACAATTCAGGCAGCTTTAACAAGCATTCTCTCAGTATTAACTTTAAAGGGGAAATGCAGTCCCAATTTCTCAGACTGTTTGTTAAATCTTGCTAAAAAGTTGACAGGATCACAAAATTTCACAAATTCCAAATTAAGCACAATCATGAACTTTGCAGAAGTACTGTATAGTCTCCTTGTTGTTGTAAAACCCCCAGGCAAGAATGAGTTTGCGTGAACTGCCACATGAAGCTTAGCAGTCACTGCAAGTACGATGTTGTGCAGCAGACATTTCACCACAAATGTTCCAATGTGATCTGTATATAGAGAGTTAACAAGTTGTATTTGTTGGCAAAAGCTCAAAGTCAAGAGTAATATTTCTACTGGACTAAAGGAGTAAACAAGCAGGCTTGTGAATATCATGTCATAGGGCCATTCACCTCACGGGAAGTTTGGGTCGCTTTGTTCCAAATTACTGAACATGGCACATACCTGGAAATTTAAAGTATTCTGTGATGTACACCAATGTTACATTCATTGTGGTTTCAAAAGCACTCAAAGCCGATTCTAACCCCGAAATACAAAATTAGCATGGCAGTTCCCTTTTAAGGATTACTGCCATGGAATGGGAACTTCACACCTTCCAATTTACAAGGATTGGTGGAGTTAGGGGTGGGGCAGAAACCAATAAGACTTAACATGTGTCAAACATTTGTCTTGTCATATGGATACAATAGCTGTACACAAGGGAAAGTGTTTTTTATTGCAATTCATACTGGAACTAGCATACTTTAAAGAAAGACATAACCAAAGCCATTTAAAATCAACAAAACCTGCAATGTAAACTACTTTTAAAGTAAGCTATATATTCTGTTTCTGTTCTGAGCCATTGAACTAGGTTTTAAAAAGGTTAACCTTTAAACCATACAATAAGCATGCAGTTATGTACTCCCGCACATTTTAGACGTGCTATGTGAATGACAGCTGACAATGAACAATTTCCTCTTTATACTTGCTAAAGTGAATTTCAGCACACTGCTTAAATGACAGCCAATCCTTAAAAAGGGCAAAACTGTGTTGAGGCTTTATTGTACTGGCCTTTACTCATTCTTGGAAAATAACATCAGACTATTTCAAATGTGATTGTTTTTTCCAGTCCTACTAGGTCTTTCTCCATGACTACAATGTTTCAAAACATGTATAAAAATCACTAGTGGTCCTTCATGAAAGTGTAATCACTTCAATAACTCCTTTTGCACAAGAGAAATTGAACTAATTACTGTGCAGATAAATGGTTTTATTCATGAACACAGACTTTAGGAAAGCAGCCCAGACCAAAAACTGAGTTTCTGTCCCTGTTCGATAGAATTGGCAAACTCAGCTTCTGAGGAAAAATCTAGAAAGCTATGGCTTCATCCCACAGGAATTAAACCCCAGACACACACCCCCCCAAGTATTTCCTGCTGACTGCGCACAACTGAACAAACATCTGGAGAAAGAGCTTGGAGAGAATGCTACAGAAGCTTTTGTATAACGAAACTGATCAATTGAAACTAACTTGCAAGTAAATGCTGTAGGATTCCCTTTCTACATTAAAATAAAAACATTTTGAAATATGCTCTCCGTTACACTTTTACTAAATTTAGATCACAATTACTTCCTTCAAGATTGTTACCTTTTATCACCACTTAACACTTAATAACTTGTTTCAAATACTTTCCAGGTTTTAAGCCAAATTCTGAAAAGGGCTACATTTTATAAGATACATCAATTATGTAGAATCCACAACTTTTCTTTTATTTTTTAAGTGCAAAATTGGACTTTCCCTGAGATGTACAATAGGTCATTAATTGACATTCCTTTGTTCAGAGATGTCTCAAAGAACTTTAATTTTATTTAACTTGTAGGTTT